GACAGCGAAGATGAGAGAGATGTTGAGGCAGGAAATACAGACACACCATTGGCGAAATTGTCCAAGTCACACGGCAAACGACGAATTTCATGGGATACGAATCCAAACATTCGGAGAGAAAATCGGCATGATGACGATTCGTCAGACGGAGAGGTCCCACAGAGTTTTATGATTGAAGCAACGTCAAATAAACCGAGAAAGCCGCCCGCATCGTTGAAGGGCAAAGAACCCGCGCGAAGGCGGCAACAGCCTCTACATTCAGCTCCAAGTGGGAGGAAGATACCACCTTTACTGCCTATCCATGCATCTGTCTCAATCCCGCCAAGACCTTCAGAGGTTGATGAAGGGCTTACTCCTCCAGCAGATACCTTCAGCGACACTTCCGAACGCGGACGTACAAAACAGATGCCGGGACTGGACGCTTATGAACGTGCGTTATGGAACTGGGTGAATGTGTACAACCTAGATGCTTTCCTTCAAGAAGTGTATCTCTACTACGAAGGAAAAGGAATATACAGTATAGCTTTATCTAGAGGACTGAACCTTTTGTGTGTTATATCTCTCTGTTCTATGTGGGTATGTAGCTAATTCTTCGCAGAACAGTCGGCTTTGTTATTGGTTTCTCCACGTTCCTCGTCGGCTGCGTAGACTACTCAAGAATTCATCCTGACAAGCAAATGAAGCTTTCAGAAGCAATAGTGGACCATTGCGTTTCCAAGTAAGCCGCGCTTTCCACCTTCTGCTGACCTTTTGTATCATGTCGGTTCAGGTTCTCCGGATTCACCCTCTTATTCTTCATCCTCTTCACTGCGTCTTATGCTTGGCAAATTGCTACATTCGTGTTGGGCGTTATGCGCCTAGCCGATATGTACAACTTCTACACTCACCTTCTGAAGATTCCCGATGTAAGTTCTCGTCTGCCATGACATGGGATACAAACTGATGTCGTTGATAGGCAGACATCCAAACAATATCCTGGCCCGAAGTTGTCCGTCGCATAGGCATGATTCGCGAGGAGAATCCTTTAACTGCCATTTCTTCAAAACGCGTCAATAGCAATGATACGACCACAGCCAAGCTCGACGCTCACGATATCGCGAATAGAATAATGAGACAAGAGAATTACCTCATCGCGCTCTTCAATAAAGATCTACTAGATTTGCGAGTGCCTCTGCCGTCGGTGTTGAAGAAATACGTGTCGCAAGACCAAGGCAGGAGCAGGGGCACGATGCTCACTCAGGCATTGGAGTGGAATCTGAGATTTTGTCTTATGGAGTATCTATTCGACAAGCATGGAAGGGTGCGAAAACTGTTTCTGAAGTCAAAGAATCGCGCCCCCCTCATAGAAGGGTAAGTTGCTGTCATTTCCGAATTCAACCGACATCTTACACTTTGACAGACTACGACGACGATTCGTCTTTATGGGCATTTTGAACGCAATATTCGCACCTTTCATCGTCCTTTATCTTCTCATGTACTCATTCTTCCGGTACTTTGAAGTGAGTTCAGGAAATTTTGAGTGATCCATGATGACTTACGAATCACGATAGGAATACCATAAAGATCCTTCTACGATTGGTGGCCGGCGGTATACGTCCTATGCTCAATGGAAGTTTAGAGAGTTCAACGAGCTACCGCATCTCTTTATCCGTCGATTAGATGAGAGCTACCCGTTAGCGAACATTTACATTGGCCAGTTCCCGAACGAAAAGATGACCATAATTATGCGGTGCGCATATCTGATTTTTACGCATTCTTACTACTTATTCTTAATTTAACCACAGATTCGTGGCGTTCATTGCAGGATCGTTTGCCGCCGTCCTCTTCCTCGCCACAGTGTGGGATCCTGACGTTTTCGTGCACCTTGAGATAACGCCTCATCGGACTGTGGTCTTTTATCTAGCTGTTTTCGGTTCTGTTCTCGCCGTTGCGAGGGGTATGATACCAGACGATAATCGAGTCTTTGATCCAGAAATGCTGATGACGGAAGTGATCACATACACTCATTACATGCCGGAAGAATGGAAGGGACAATTGCACAGTAAGAAGGTATGTAACACATTCCAGTCCATTCATATCTGATTTTGTGCACACATGTAGGTCCATCAAGATTTTGGGGAGCTTTTCGCAATGAAGATCCTGATTTTTGTGGAAGAGCTGCTCTCAGTGGTCCTCACGCCTTTTGTCTTATGGTTTTCCCTCCCAGACTGTGCTCCTGCCGTCATTGATTTTTTCCGTGAATTTTCTGTGCATGTCGATGGTCGTGGATATGTTTGTAGCTTTGCAGAGTTCAACTTCGAACGACATGGTAATGTCAAGGTAAATTTGAATTCAAAATAATATCTTCTGTTGTCGGTTTGACTGACACTGCCTTTGTCGTAGTTTGGTGCACCGAACCCGATAAAGGATCAGCGCATGCTATCGAACGAAGGGAAGATGGAAAAAAGTTTTCTCAATTTCAAGGTCAAAATCTGTCAGACCGTAAAATTAATACATCGTTAACCCCCCTTTCGCAGGCTGCGAATCCCGAATGGACACCAGACCCTGCAGGTTCCCTATATCTAAGTCGTATACAAGATTTCACCGTCGCGCATCCTATCAACTCCATGCTTCGCCGAAGACACATAGAGAGCTCCGGGTTGTCACCATTCTCTGCCCAGCCTGCAAATCCTCCTTCACCGATGATTTCCCGGAAACCAGAAATTGTTTTGGAAGATAAAGCACACGAGTACGATCGTGCTCTTCGCCAAAGCAGGTATGCTGCACGTAGACGAGGTGGGGCCAGTGTCATGGGTATGTCAGCATTGAACCAACCCGCGGGACCTTCTGCATCGTCCATATTTGGTCCTAGTGCGATGGCGGGTGCGCAGACTGCTATTCTGGGTGATTCACAAGGAAGTGTGATGCCAGTGCCAGCAGTAGCACGTTTAACAGTTGAAGAGGAAATCGAGGAATCACGGATTGGAGCAATACCTGATGATGAGGTGGGTCCAGATGGAGAGGTCGGTAGCGGGTTGGGTGGATCGTATATTGATGGTGCGCGACGGGTTACGAGGCCAGTGTACGAGGAAGAAGAAGAAGAAGGCCTCGAGGATGGAGGTGTATTAGGGTTGTTGGCGCAGATCTATGGGAGGAGGGACGGGCCAAAGCTGGGATAGAGATATATGTTATCATTTTTTGTGCTGATCTGCATGTGACGCTGTGCGCTTTGGAGTTGGTTGGTTTACGCTGAGCTTGGATTGGGAGAATCCCAGTGTAAGTAATGATCTTTGCTGGATATCGTCTTAGAGATGTAACATAATGTCGAATATGATGAGCGCTGGGGTATGATTTCGAGGCCTTTGCAAGCTAAAGTAGAGCTTAATCTCGAGAATCTAGATACTATGTTATGGTAGCTATAGCTTCTAGTGCGTGACCGTGACTCGTTCGAACTCACAACTGCTGTGAAACTTGATACACATACACGGGATCCGACTGCGCGTAGATAGCGCTCACCAACCACTTTAACTATCATTATCCCAACTCCGAAGCCGCCATGCCACGCAAAGAGAACCCAGGTCCACTGTCCGCACAACAACAGCAAGATCTAGTTTCTGAGGGTATCGATAACTTTGAACTTCCAAAGAGCTTAGTTACGAAGATCGCGAAAAGTGCTGTGGGTATTGACGCGTCGACGCGTTCATATTGGGTGATAGTTGAAGAATTGGAATGATTAGGAGTTGCATTGTCCTGCGCTTCATTCTTCTATCTGTATTGTAAATCGTTCGTCTCTTTGTCTGACCCTGGTCATCTATAGGTCCCAGAGAGCACAAAACTGCAAAAGGAAGCGATACTATCGTTAGTCAAGGGGTCGACTGTGTTTATAAATTATTTGGGTTAGTCTTCCCTCTTTCCCGAATATCTCTCAATTCAACTATCTTTTTTCAGCCGCAACGTCAGCTTTGCTGAAATTCTCTACGTATCAAACACATCTGGACTTATTTTCATTTTATAGTGCACACGATGTCGCCCAATCAAAACAACACAAGTCCATTTCAGCTTCGGATGTCCTCAAGGCACTAGAAATGATTGAATTGGGAGATTTAGTGGAACCGTTGAGCGCGGAGCTGCAGGGTGTGTCGCGTTGCCATCCTTGAACTGGTACTGTTTACTGATTTTCCTTACTCTGTTCCCTTTCCTTCTGTCAATCTAACAACTCCGTACTGCCTACAAACTACTCCTATATACCTCGAATACTCGCCGGTGCCTCCATGTTATGTTCACAGTATATCGCGACCAAGTCAAACCCGACAAAAGCGCAGGAGCAGGAACAGGAGTGGGCGCAGGGAGACGAGCTTCGACTGCTTCTGCAAGTGTCAACGGTTTCACTGCTACCTCTGCTTCTACCCCCGCCAAAGCAAAAGGGAAAGACAACGCTTCCACTAGCGCTTCCGTTGTTGGCGCCGGTCCTATTGTTGCGCTAGCTTCTTCAGCTGGTGGCGGTACGGAGACACTCCCTCCGCCGTTCACCTCTGCGCCGCTTGTCCACCGTGGAGACTTGACGGGTCATGCACTCGGAGACCAACAAGATTCAATCTCAGCCGCGGCCAATCTACATATGGATACGCCAGAGATGCATAGCATGGATGTTGACGAAAATCAAGAAGATCTAGTCGGCGGACGAGATGCTGAGATGGAAGATGTAGCAGATCAACATGAGCAAGAACAAGAAGAACAAGGAGACGGAGAACTTGAACACGAAGCGCAGGAGCAGGAACTGCGGGATACAGTGGCAGTCGTAGAGGAAAATGCGAGAAGTGTAGAGCGGAGGGGAGCAGTGTCGGAGTAGAAATGAGTGTGGTTTAGGCATCGTTAAGGACGAAGGGGATAATGGTAGGCAACATGGAATTATGAATAGCACTGTGGCGAAGTGTGCCTACTGAAATAGGTGTTCGAAAGAAGGAAAAAAGTCAGAACTTTATAGGTGAATTTCGCTAGCACGTAAAAAGAAATCATTCACTCGACGCCAGCAGGATTCGAACCTGCGCCCTCAAAGAGGAACAGATGATACATTGTCATATTCTAATCTGTCGCCGTAACCACTTGGCTATAGCGCCTACATGGAATGAGTTCTTTATAAGCAACATCTATGCTGATTGAAATAAATTTAGAATTATCATCTAACGCCACGTCGCTTGTCTTCCTTACCTTTGACATACTCATACGAGGAGACAATTACTAGGGACTAACGAGGAGGCAGAAAGCGGAGAGTTTTGGCTGGAAACAACAAGGGGGATACAGGATCCTCAACTTTTTGAATGCTTACTACCAAAACACAAAACTCAAAGATGCACCTTCTATACCCAACATTCGCTTTTCTAATTGTTTTCGTTCGCGCCTACCAACCACACAACCGCATCGGTGAACGATCCTTTCCATACCAGTACTCCACCGCTGAAATTAAATCACTTATTTCATCCTTGGACCCGATAACTTCGACGCAAAAGCACCTAGAACGAATACTGATACCGAGAGTATCTGATACGGACAACAATACCCTTGTACGAGAGTACATCATGAAGACGTTACAGGACGGATACAATGGAGGAAAAGGGTGGCACATTGAAGAGGACGAGTTTGAAGGGGATACACCATTTGGGAAGAAGAAATTTGTGAATGTCGTGGCGACGAAGGATCCGAGGGCGTCGAGGTGAGCATTTTATAACGCGTAAAATTGATCTATTGATTGTATCTTCGTAGACGGTTGATTCTCGCTGCGCACTTCGACTCCAAATACTTTTCACCCCCAAATGATCAGTTCCTAGGAGCTATAGATAGCGCTTTCCCGTGTGCAGTTTTGCTGGATTTAGCTGAAAGTTTGGATGGAATGTTAGGTGAGTTTTATTGTCCGGTCTTGTCTTGTCTTCCTTGAGCTCACTTGTGTGATATCAGAAACCCGAATATCTCAGTTAGAGCAGGACAACTTGCCCGTGGAAGAAGATGAAGACCTTGCAGACACCACTCTACAACTTGTATTCTTCGATGGAGAAGAGGCATTCGTCAGCTGGTCAGAGACTGATTCAATATATGGCGCACGGTAAGTTTAGTTCCAGTGTTAGTACCATGGCTTCGTATATCGTCCTTGGTGCCTCTTTACTGGCCCGTCAAGCGCGACGTTTTGTGTGTCCGACGTCCGTCTTCGCTTCAAATTTTGCTTCACTGCATTTCCTTTGAACTTGTTCATACATATCGTTCTCATTCTCATATACGCAGACACCTTGCCGAAACATGGGAATCCACATATATCTCTTACGGCTCGCCGTCTGTCGTAACCACAATGTCTTCTCGCTCTTCAAACTCTTCCTCGACTGAAAACAATGACTCTATGCTAGGCTTCATTGGCCCTCGCCGTCTCCTTCCACCTACTTCCCTATCACTCCTATCTACAATTGAACATTTGATACTGCTCGATCTTTTGGGCTCGAAACCGCCAAGTGAAGGTAAACCGATGATTAAAAATTATTTTAAGGTTAGTCTGGTTATCCTTTCTCCATGTCAATCCTTTCCCTTCCTCTATTCTCGTAGGACACCGCATGGCTCTTCTCTTCACTCTCACAAACCGAAGTTCGCCTAGCCGCTCTCGACGCCTTTGTCGATCCATCCATACCCGAATCTTCGGAAGATTCGGCACACATGTCCAAAGACTCCTTCATATCGTATTTTCAACCTCTTCCTCAAAAGGCATCCCAGATGGTGAATATAGGGTACATGGGTGACGACCATGTTCCATTCCTGAGAAGAGGTGTACCTGTGTTGCATTTGATCCCGGAGCCTTTTCCCAGAGGTGAGTTTGCTTACATTGTAGTAGATTTGTCATTCAGTTTCCTCGCCCGGTTCTCATCAATCATATTCGATGGTATAGTATGGCATACCTTAGCAGACGACGCCACTGCACTCGACAAAGCATCAATGCGGAGATGGGTCGTGCTGATGAGGGTTTTTGTTGCGGAGTATCTCGGGTTGCGGCCGCCTCTATTGACATCGAGAAATGGAGTCACAGAAGAAGAAGACGATACACCGGGCCGGACAAGGGACGAATTAGTGAGTTTTTTTTGATACTTTTTCCCTCTTTCCCTTTGGGCTCAATTGTTCTGGCATTGCTAATAAATATTGGGGGTTAGTAGATGCTAGCCACTGGTTCTGATTGTATACAATTGAAGAGGTCAATTTTGAGATGATATGACTACATAATATCCGTCTATTTAAATGTACAACCAAACATCACACATTGGACTCGTGAAATAAAACAGTCTGGTCAGCTTCCGAGGAGCTTTTTGAAAGTTTGTCCAATACTTTTTTCGCCGTTTCCTTCACTTTCACTCTTTTCTTCATTTCAATCCATTTCCTCACCCATGAGAAAGGAAGAGGTCGCCAGAGGAACCCAGATCGAATGGATTGGGCACATTGAAGATACTGGAAAGAAAATACGATCAGTTGTTACCCAGGGAAGGATGGATAAGAGCACGGACATCACACAGATTAGCAACTTCTTGTGTGTAAGGCTTCGGTGGATGCATGCGGTGTCTGAAAAACCACAGATATACACCCTGCGATGGGCCTTCCATACTTACAAGGCATTGTCCCCAGACATTCAAATCTTTCACCACATAGCAAGCATTTTGCAGGAACTGTCTGACTTGGAGCCGTGCACCTTGGTTCTTCCAGTGGTCATTGGCAACACATGCAATCATTTTAGCAAGTGTGGTTGCAGATAAGTCATGGGCAAGGTGAGGCCTATACTTCAGGCCTGAGATGTACGCCATGCATACAGCTCCATTGATGGTTGGGTATTTAAATGAAATCCGGGGTTGTGGTATATTGTTAGTGAAATTGTTTCGAACTATCCGCTCTACAGCCATATATGCAAAGTCTTCATTGCCCAACAGACATTGCCTTAATAGCTTTTGGATCTTTTCCTTTGAAAGATGATGTTGAACTAATAGAACAGCTAGCTGGTCCTTGACAGAGTCAGGTGGATGCTGGAGGTTTGTTGATACTGAACACCTAACATATGTATCTAGGGCATACTCTCTTTCCATGTCTAGATCAGAGGAATCATATAAATTAAAAGACCTGTGTCTATCAAAAGGCTTGGATTTTGTCAGCAACTTGCTAGCTCTCACAAGAGACAACTGGGTATCACATGATAGTCAATGAGCAAGAGGACAAAAAAGCAATGAGGATGAATAAAACAACCTAATACTAGTCTAGCTACTGAGGAGAATAGATAAGAATAGAGCTAAGGAATATAAGTACAAAATACTAAGTCTTATATATGTATGGGATATGAAAATGTGAGAATCATCTCACACCGTAACTGTGAGGATCTACAATAGAAGTTGCTCATATCCATAAGTAAAGCTGTAGGTATTCAGTGAGTAAACAATAAGGCAATATAAAAGAAGCATAGAGGTGGGACAATAATGACAATGCCTTGTCAACAAAATGACAAGCACAAGAGAGTTGTTCATAGGTGAAACAACAATGTGAGAACAATAAGGTTGATGTGTGTAATCTAGATGGAAATGAAAATGTAATAAGTGCTAGTGTAAATGCTTTAGTGATTAGGTAAGTAGAGATAAAAGAAAAGAATAATAGAAAATGGATGCTTTCATAACAGATTTGAAAAGTGCAGTCTTGAAGAAGGATGCAAGGATTGGTAGTTGGGATGCACAAGATTGATCATAATTGATTGCCCAACATAAATTTACTAGTGTATCTTTTAATGATTCCTCAGAAAAACCATTGATGGAAACTTCTTCTAGATGTTCATGAGTCCAAAAGAGTAGGTGAAGTATCAGAACATTCAGATGTTCTTCTGAAGTTGAATTTTTTTTGACAATATCATCTGTTTGATTATCACCAGATATAGGAGCCAGTTTGTGCATCAGTTGCAAGCCCTCTTTTGGTGCCAACTGGAAAGCTTGCATTCCAGTTAAAATGTTTATATTTGATGTTGTAGTATAGACATGCTCCAGAAGTTGTCTCGTCAGAGCATGTACTCCTGACTCCAATGTCATCCTACTTAATGCATCAATAGAGTGAGGTTCCAGGGAGCTCCAGAAACTTTTCCATGTGGCAAGTGGAAGTTTTACTGAATCTTTGAAGATTGAGTCAAACAGCACAATGTGATAGTTTTCAAAATTAGGCCACTTGTAAGCCAGACAATCCAACTGCCAGGCTGGTATTTTGGCATCAGCAGTTTTAATGCAATCAAACCAATACTTTCTGATAAAACAGTAATATCCAGTTGCTTCGATTCAGATTACTGTGCATTGAAGGTGTTCAACCTGATCTTCATCCATACTGGCTAAATCAGTATCACTGATTCTCCAGGGCCATAACCCTTGTTGCCTCAAATCACTTTCAAGCTCAAAATCTAATGACAACTGTGATGCCATCTGTCTCATATCAACATCACTATCCACAAGGCCTCCAATAGCTTGTCACACAACATTACAGACTGTTGGATTTGAGGACAGTTCATACAACCAAAGTGCAGCACATGAATGCAGCTTGTTGTCACTTTGAACCAGTGCTCTCTCAATACTTTTGTGAACAGGAGGAATAAAGTGTTTGAAGGCTTGAACTTCAGCTAGCCCAGTAAGACCCTTGAATAAGTTATGTACACTCCAATATAAAAAGTTACTGATTGAAGTGTGGTATGGGCAGGTGGAAACAAAGAGAGGTAAAACATTGCTGACAGTGTATAAGATGTATACCAGCCCTCTGATACCAGCAACAACATATGATATTACTGATTGAAGGGGAAGAAGGAACAGGACTAGCCCAGCTAAGAATAGTGCCACAGAAATATGTACAATAACAGGCAATGCTCCAACAATGATAGCAACATGCCATTGTTGGAAGCCCATATATTGCAAGTGGCAGGTACATGTGTGCTCATGTGCAGTCCCTAAATGTTGAGCAGCATACTGTCATAGCCACTGTTTCACAAGTACAGCAGCAAACACTGTAACAAGTAAAAGTGTCAAACTTGTAAACCAGAGTGCATTTGTCCAAACTGTGATTCCTTCAGGTGTAGAATTTGTTGTGG